CTACTGTTTAAAAGTATCAATACTTTTAAGAAATAGCAGGTGTTAGCCATGGATCACACCTTTAATCCCAGCATTCAGGAGGCAGAGACAGGTGGATCTCTGAGTTCCAGGACAGCTAGGGCTATACAGAAAGCCCCGCCCCCATGAACCAGTATAAGGTTCATGCATTCCTTATAACAACATCACAAACATCATAACTCCACAATGCCCAGATGGCTTTTAAGGCAGAGAGTGGTAAAGTCTCTCACCCATAGGCACAAGTAGAATGGGGGCTGATAAATGAACCCAGGCAGTTTGTATTTATAATGACACCAAATCACCTGGCTGTCTGTTGTCCATCCTTGTACTCTATGTGAAATGTTAAAAATTCAGATTTCTAGGTTTCATCTCAGAGCTTCTGATAGTCCATCTTTGGCCATGGTCCCAAGGAGTCTATGTTGTTAACCTGTTTCTAGCAGTTTTCCCCCCTGTGAATCTATAGACCAGCACTGGGGAAAAGAAGGTACTGAGAACAGTCTGGACTTTTTCTTTTTTCTTTTCTTTTAGATCTTATTTATGCATATATGTGCCTATGTGTGCAGGTCACTTTGGAGGCCAAAAGGTGACAAATCCCCTACAACGGAAGCTACAGTGAGTTGTTAGCTGTCTGATGTGGGTGCTGGGAATCGAGTCTGGGTTGTCTGTAACACAGTGACTACTCCTAACCACTGAGCCATCTCTCTAGTCCCCCTAGAGTCCTTTCCAATTGTGAGTAGAGCTTAACACATTCAGAACTGGCCATTAAGTAAATTCAGAAGTTGCCTGGAAATATATGTGGACAGGCATAAGCTGTGCCTGTGTTTTGTGCTGAGTAAAAATATTCAGAACCAAATAGCAAAGACATAAAGATCCCCCAATGAAAGACACAGATCTGAGATGTTGCCTTAACCACCCTGGGCCAGAGAAGTGGCGGCCAGAACCAAATATACTTATAGTGCATAATAGCAATTCTTCTAAGATATGTGTACCTGTTTAATAAGATTGAATTGTTAATTTGTGTAGAATTTAGTAACAAATAATAGCAGCTACAGACTTTCTGGGGACAGCTTTGGCTTGCATCAAAAGATTCAGATTCTTTCTTCTTTATTTTCTTATTGTGGGTCTAAGATCTTGTATTCAACCCGCACATTAAAAAAGAAAGTGACTTCATCAACTTACTTTAACATAAACACCTGAGGCATAAGTTAAAGTCCATATATAAATGAGTCCTGATTTATATGGACAGCACTGGGCAGGAACTACTGTCATGTTCCTTGACTCATTATGAATCAGAGCATTTCATTTATCCCATTACATTGACCACTAACACAAACAAATATTGGCTTCCTGGCTCTCAATGGCAATTATTAAAAGCCAGGAAAGATGTGCATTTATGTAATGAAAAGGAATCCAAAGTTAGTGAATCAGTTTTGAAACATACTTCTAAATTTCCTTACCATTGTCTTTAATTCATTTTTGGCCCCCCTTTTCAAAGCCTTCCATCTTTTAGCTTTTATTTATGTCTTTGGCTTGCAAAAATCCTGCTTAATGATGAAAATAAAAAAGATGAGCAATTGAATGAGGAACAGAACATGAAGAGGTCATGAGTGGAGGTCTCTTCAGCACCTTTCTTTTTCTGTGTAGTTTGTATTCTTAAAATGCTCAGGCCATGGTCTTTCCCACACTTTTGATAAATACATTGAAACAATAGGGCCAAGGTAGCTTTTACTGGAGCAAATGGTGAGCCAGAGATAAGGACGAAAGTGAACCCTTGGCTAGTTTGCCAATCAGATGGCCATTAGAAGTTGGTCCAGTGGCAATAGCCATCTTCTCCAAGAAGAAGATGACTTAACTAAGCAAATAAGTACCTGATGGTGGCTCAGTGGACAAGCATGCTTGGTGTGTAAGCATGATGAGCTGAGACCAGTCCTCTGAATCTGCAAAAAAAAGACAGGCATGATGGCCTGAACCTGTGATCCCATGGTTAGATGGGAGGCAGAGATAGAAGAATCTTCCAGAAGCTCAAGGACCAGCTAGTCTGCTGGACAAAGCAGGGGAGAAACAAGAGAGACCCTGCTAACAAAGCAAAACAAGGTGGAACAAGAGAATTGACTCAGAAAAGTTAGCCTCTGACCCCCAGGGCAAGTGTCTCCATGTGTAATAACAGCACAAATAAAAACAAAAATAAGTAAATACACTTCTAAATGCAAATGGAAACTTTTGGAGGACTTGGGTCCCTGTTTTACACTAACTCCTCTGAAGGATTCAGACGCTCTGCCTGTTGGCCTGCAGTCTAGTCTTCTGCCAGAGCTCAAGCTGCACCCTATTTCCTCTTCCCTTTATCAAAGCAGGTATTGTGTATTCCAGTTTCATTTGTTCCTGCACACATTATGAAGGTCTCTGTCATTATCTCCAATGTACACATGTTTAATGCCAAATGCCGGAGGCAGGATCAAGCCCTGGAACTCCCTCTGGTTCTTTCTGTTCAACCTTTTAAAATCCCACAGTACGTCCCTTTCCATTGGTGCATTTCCTGGTTCAGACGTCTGGATTCTGTTGATGGAGACATCATTAGAGTTGTGTTTGGGCATTGAGGATTTACATTTGATAAGGTGAGAAGTGTTTCCTAAGCCTTGGGCTGAGTCCTTTCTCTGACCATCTCAAGGTTCCCTTTGGCTTTCATCTCAAATGTGGTCTGAGGTCCCGTAGGAAGGGCTGTAATGCTGAAAAGTAGAACCACCCTTAGCAATTACATAAAACCTGCACAGTAAGATGGTTGAGCAATAAAAGTCACTGGAAGAATGAACAAGTGACTCCAATTAGTGCCATGTACAGTTAAATCAGTGGTCTATTTCATTCTTACTTTCGTTGGTTTTCAGATATCTCCAGTCACTGATATCTTCCCACATCTGATTGGTTCTTCCCCTCCATTCCCCTTCTCTCCCTTCTTTCCTTCCTATCATTTTATGGTGTAGGGAACTGCTCCCAGGGCCTAGTATATAACCAAGAAATGCTCTCCACCGAGTGAGAGCCTCAGTTTTGGGAGAGTATTTGTTTCCTATCCAATATACACATAGTAGCAAGGTCCAAGGCACTTCAGAGTTAGGTCCTGGCAGCTCCCAGTTTATTGTTTCCAAGGTCAAAGGACATATAATTCTTATCTCAATTATAATGTAGTCAAGGTTTCATGCTTTAAGATTTTTCTAGTGCAATGATTTATTTCAAAGCTATGTTTGCTCATGTCTTGATTTGGGGGAATTTTTCTTACGACTTGTTGGCAATCTAATCTCTGTGCCATTCTCAAGTTCTCTGAGCATGGCTTCTGGAATTTACTGGAGGGAGAGGAGAGCCAGGGAGAGCGAGTGGCTTTGGGTGTGCTGTGCCACATGTGGGCATGGAAATGCACAGTGAGGTGTGGATGGAGCTGGGAGTGGCAGGGCTGGTCCCTATGCCATAGAGAAGATGCCAGGCTTCTCCTGGCCTTTCGTGCTCATACTTGCCCCATCCCTGCAGGTCTAGGTGCTCCATGCTTCTTTCCCCCTCTTCCAAACCTGCTCTAGGCAATGTGCTGCATCCAGAAAACCTTCAGCTGCTGCCTAAGCAAGGTGTGGCCAGACTGGTCCCCACCCAGCAGAACTGCTCTGCTCCAGGTAAAGACGAAGTCCAGAAACTTTGTCCCTATGTTGCAAATGTTTTCAAAGTCAAGTCTTAATATCCTAAAAATTAGAAGTTAGCAAATTGGCAAACCATCAAAAGGCACCCAGATCTCCAACCATGGACGCTTTTATGAAATTACCTCTGCCCAGCCCTCCAGGTCTGTCTCTCATAGGACTCTAGAGAGACTATATTATTATTCAAAAACTTGACCACATTTTGTTAAATTCCTTGTTCAAAGTTTTATCTATTTTGAGTAGGCATATTTCTGTATTCATTTTGTTATATTTGACTTGTGAAGAAAAATCTAAAACTTTTTATACTAGGATGTAAGGATCTGGTATTTACTTGAGATGCCTCCACATCCTTCCACAACCCAAACACGAAGCTACAGGAGGGGTTCGGTGAATGACCGTATTTCTAATTAAAGACATGCTCATGCCATAGTGCTAAATAGCAATTACAGATCGGGTTCAACAGGATATGTAATACCATATAAACCAGATAAGGACATTTGCTTTTTTCCACAAGAAGATTTCTTTTATTGAAAACATTTTTTTCATACAATTTATTTTGATTATAGCTTCCCCTCATCCTGCTCCTCCCAGTTCCTCCAAGACCCCATCTCCCATCTTTTTAGGAAAAAAATAAACAGGCATCTAAAGAATAGTAATAAAGTAAAATACAATACAATAAATTAAATAAAAAAAACAAACAAAAATATGACAAAACAACCATACAAGAAAAAGAGCTGAAATAAAGGCATGGGAAATGCAAACATACGTGTTCGTGTGTGAATGCTCTAATGCACACACACACACTCAGATACACACACACACACACACACACACACACACACACACACACACTCAGAAACACACACACACACACACACACACACACACGCACAAAATCTGGAAGCAAAGAACCTGTAAGGTTAAAACACAAAAGCCACCCTGACTTAACATTATGAGTCAAGGAACTCCAAAGGTGCTGTTGAGTGTATTGAGTTGGCCATCTACTTCTAGGCATGGGGCCTGTTCTGAAGAGTGGTTTGTTTCTCCAGTGAGACTCCTTTGGAGAAAACTGTTTCATTTGTAAGTGACTACCAGTTGGGTAGGGTTCCTGGGTTAGGGACAGGAGAATGTGTCCACTTCTCTCAGCAATAGTATCTCATCTGGTGCAGACCTGTGCAGGCCCTGTGGGTGCTGCCGAAGCCTTGGTGAGTTTACTGGTGCACTAGCCCTGTTTTGTCTAGAAGGCCTTGATTCCATGGTGTCTTCCAAACCTCTCTGCCTCTGACATTCTTTCTGCCTCCTCTTTTGCAGTGTTCCTGGAGCCCTGAGGCAAGGGATTTGATGGAGAAATCTGTCTTACAGCCGAGTGTTCCAAGATCTCTTACCCTCTCTGCATTATGTCTGACCATGGATCTCTGTATTTGTTCCCATCTGCTGCGGGAGGAAGCTTCTCTGATGATGAAGTAAGGCACTGATCTCTGAGTAAAGCAGAATGTCATTGGGAGTCATTTTATTGCTGTGTTCCTTTAGCAGTACTTGGTTTTCCCCTAGGTCCTTGGCCTATCTAGTCTCAGATTCTTCGACACCCTACAGAAGAAAGAGGGTGTCACTGTCCCTTTGAGTTGGTCCACAGTGATTTGTATTATGTAATGCTGTACCTCTTTGAAATGTGAAATGTTATTTGGGGGAGAGACAGGAGCCCAAAAATGACCTCAGGAAACCACAAACTTGAGGCCTGGGAGATGACTCAGTTGATAAAGTATATGTTGTGTATCCATGAGGACCCCTGGTGCCCAAGTAAAAGCCTGATGAGTGTGTGTGTGTGTGTGTGTGTGTGTGTGTGTGTGTGTGTGTGTGTGTGTGTGTGAGTCTGTCCTCGCGCGCGTACGTGTGCTCTCGAATGCACAGAGACAGGTGGATCTCGGAGCCCATCAATTAGCCAGTCTAACCAGTTAGTAAGCTCCAGGCTCAGTGAGAGACTCTGTCTCAAGGAAAAGAAAAGTGGATAGCTATAGAGGAAGACCCCTGGCATTGATCTCTGGCCAACACATTCATGTGCTTGCAGTGTGCATGAACACATATCTAACACACACACACACACAATTTTTAAAAAAGGAAAGTTATGATTATTGCTATTGGGTTTTTTTTTTTTTAAAAAAAGGAGAAAATAAATTTACCAAAGTAGGGGATAAGTCTTCATGTTGTAACCTGTGGAAGCCATTGTCAACCAACTTTGCTGAAAGTGGCATTGGAAGTGGCTGCCCGGTGTTGATCATAAATGGGTACTTGAGTCAGTGGGACTAATGCTAACTGTATTGGCAGTAAATAAATGTTTTTGCCCAGGGATAAAAATTTTAATAACTTTATGGCTAAAAACAAACAACAAACTAGGGAGATCACTTGGGCCTGTAAAAGCATTTGCTGTGCAAACTTGAAAATCTGCCACATAAAAAAACCTGATGGAGTCTTTTTTTTTTTTTTTTTTTTTTTTGTTTCCTCGAGACAGGGTTTCTCTGTGTAGCTTTGGATCCCATCCTGGCACTTGCTCTGGAGACCAGGCTGGCCTCGAACTCACAGAGATCTGACTGCCTCTGTCTCCCGAGTGCTGGGATTAAAGGCGTGTGCAACCAATGCCCAGCTAAAGAGTTGTTTTGTGGCCTTCCTCTTTCTGGAAATGCCCATGAATTTCAGTGAGCTCAGAGGTGGAATTTTTTTGTTGTTGTTTGTTTGGTTTTTTGTTTTGTTTTACGAGACAGGGTTTCTCTGTGGCTTTGGAGTCCATCCTGGAATTAGCTCTTGTAGACCAGGCTGGTCTTGAACTCACATAGATCTGCCTGCCTCTGCCTCCCGAGTTCTGGGATTAAAGGCATGCGCCACCAACGCCCGGCCCAAAAAAAACCCCGATGGAGCCTTAAAGCTAGAATCTAGAACCCTAGTGCTGGAATCTAGAACCTCTAGCACTGGAATCTTGAACCACGGCACTAGGGGTAGGGGAGAGAGAGGCTCATTGGGACTTTATAGCTGCCAGGCTCAATGAGAGACTCTTAAAGAGGCTTAATTAAATATTGATACTAGATACATAGTTATTTCATGTATCTTCATAAAGACATGTACTCAAGTTGGGTTGGTCACCAAGCACCGTCCCCACCACCCGCCACCACTTTGGAACATGACCTTATGTTAGAGTTACAATCTATTTCTGTATTTTTTTAATGTAAGGAGAATAAAAAACAAGCTTCTTTCTCTCTATGAGTAACTCTTAAAGTTTAATGGATCCTATACTGGTTAGTTTTTTGTTAACTTGGTACAAGCTAGGGATTTCTGGGAAGAGGGAACCTCAGTTGAGAAAATACTGGCCTATAGGCAAGCAGGTGGGTCATTTTCTTGATTGGTGATTGGTGTGGATGGGCCCTGACCCAATCCAGTGCCACTCCTGAGCAGATGGTCCTGGAGTATATAAGCAAGCAGGTTTAGAAAGCCCGGAGGAACAAGCCAGTAAGCATCGCTCCTCCATGGCTTCTGCCTCAATTCCTGCCTCCAGGCTTCTGCCCTGACTCATGGTGGACTATAAGCTCTAAGATGAACTAGACCCTTTTCTAGACCCTTTTCTCCCCAAGTTTGCTTTTGGTCATAGAGTTTACCACAGCAATAGAAACCTAAATAATATAGGCATTTATGCTCTTAGGGAAGTTATGAAGCATCGAAAAGTCCTGGGCAACTCCGGCATATGGGGAAGATACTGGGCTGGGGGGGGTGAGACGAGGGGGGAGGGAGGGGGGGTCGTGTGTGTCTCGGTGCCCTTAGAACCATGTTACACAGGGTCCACTGTCTGTGCCTTGAGGCTGAGTTTGTGCTGGAGTGGAGTGGTTTCAGAGTCCAGTTAACAGGTGTGTAGTGAGTACACCGGGTAGGAAGGATGAACCAGCGTGGGTTAGGAGTGTTTGTGTTGCATTGCAACCCACCTCCAAACTTACTGGCCGAAAGCTACAGCCATTGGTCACTATTCTTTGGCTTGGCAGTTTGGTCAGAGAGAGCCCAGATGGCTGGCTCATCTCTGCTCTGCAGCTGCTTGCGTCGCTGGCTGTCGGGTCACAGATGGCTTTGCTTCTGTAGCAGCTGGACGGCTGATCTCTCCCCGTGTGAGGCTCTTCTGTTTTCTTGGGGGAGTGAAAGCAGAAGCTGTGGGACTTCTAGGAGAGAGGTGGGTGGTGGGTGGCAGTAGAGGGCGAGTGTGGGAACGCGAGTCATGTGATGATGCTTAGGCCTCTGTGACCCAAAATAGATACGGCCTACTTAAGGGAGGGGCTGCGAAGATCTGTAAGCATGTTTAACTCTCCAATGGGAAAGGCGGCTCCTGGGATGGAGCAAGGACAGGTGACTATGAGGAATTTTAAGGAATCTTTTGACAGTCTTGCTGTGTAGCATAGGCTGACCTTGAGTTTGTCATCCTCTGTTTCAGTTTACCAAATGCTAGGTTTATAAGTATGTACCATTATGTACTGCTTACAGCCATTATCATTTTTTTTTACTCGTTTTAAAAAGCACTTTTTATTTTATTTTTATTTATGTGTGTATGTGTCTGTGTATGCTCACATGTGTACAAGAGCCTTCAGAACCCAGAAGAAGGTGTTGGATCCCCTGCATCTGGAGTTACAGGTGGTTGTGAACTGCCAGACTTGGGCGCTGGGAGCTGAATTTGGGTCTGTTCCAAGAGCAGTACTTGCTCTTAACCATGGAGGTATCTCTCTAGCTTCACAAGTATTGCTTCAGTCTCATGTTTCAAACTGGATATTTTGTTCCCATAATACATCAGGTTTATAGGCTTTAACAAATTTACGATTAGTGTATATGAATTGTACAAACTAATGGGACTTCACTCTGGTGTTCCCTAGATGTGTGCATTATGACTTAATTCTGTATACTCTCTTTTCTATCCCCTGTCCCCTTCGTCTCCCTATATGCTTCCCCTAGCCTGTTTCCCTTGCCTAACAGTCTTTCTTACACTTTCATTCTTAAAAAAAGATCATCATAAAGAACTTCTAATTTTTGAGCAACCTCTCTCTCTCTCTCTCTCTCTCTCTCTCTCTCTCTCTCTCACACACACACACACACACACACACACAGAGTTTTGGTCACTTTAACAGCTCCCCTAACCCAAACCCCTTCTATCCTTCCACTCCAGCCAAACCCCTTGTTTTCCCAACAAGTCCCCCTCCTACCATCTACAGCCGCGTGCGTGCGCGCGTGCTCATGTGTGTGTGCGTGCCCCACTGAGTTTAATTAGGACTGCTTGCATGAGCATGGGTTGGGCATTATTTACTGAAGCATGGGCAACTTACCAGTGGCTACACCACTGAAGAAGGAGGCTCCTCATTTCCCAGCAACTATAAGCTGCCTGTAGCATAACTCTTCAAAGAATAAGAATAATGTCTCATGAGCCCTTACCCATTCAATGTGCGATGCTGACAGGCCCATCTTGTACAGGTAACCACAGCTGCTATGTGTTCATAAGTGAAGTATCCATGTCATGTCCTAAAGACAGCATTTCACATCACTCCTTCCCATCCTCAGTCCCCCACAGTGCTCCTGGGCTTGGGGGTGTGTGCTCTAGATGTCCTATCTAGGGCTAAGCATTCAACTGTCACTTTATTCTCAACACCAGTTATGAGTCTCAGAATTAACTGTCACCTCTTGCAAACAGAGGCTTCTGACGACAAGGCTGAGATCACCACTGTAAGGTATGGGTAGAAATCCAAGCATCTAGAAAGCTGTTTCAGATCTTTAGTGTTCCTGCCTCAAACAATTATTTTGATGGAAGAATGTAGAGCCAACATCAAGTCTTGTCCATTCATCTGTGAGCAGAATGAGAATCATACAGGCTAGAAATGTATCCAGTCTTCCTCACTTCCTTCATCTAGAGGAAGATGGTTTGCCCAAGGCTGGCCTCATCTGTGACCTGACAGCCGGCAACTGCAACAGTTTTAGCAAATAAGGGAAGCTCTTAACTGCAGATGCTCTGAAGAGAGATACTAATCAAGCAGAACCCATGTCTCCTAGATCCTGTTAATTGGGACTGACTTGCATCCTGGATTGTGCTCATATTTTTCACATTACTATCAATGAAAAGCCTGTTGACTGGACAGCTAGAAAACAATTTTAAGGAAGTCACTATATAATTATAAGAAGGTCACTATAAGTATTAAGAGACTGTGCACTTGAGCTGACTGTAAATAGAACATACATCATACTATAGAGTATGGGATTGGGTTCAGAAGCAAAACACAGTGTTCTGGCTTCAGCAAATGGGCAACATCTAGCGGAGGGTGCATCTTGGTGGGAGAGTGGAGGGCCACAGCTAGAGAAAAGAATTTCCATCTTGGTGATGATTCCATTCAGAAGATCCGGGTGAAGATCCATTCAGAAGATGCACAGGGAAGACCCAACAGGTCCTCTCTGTCTGCTA